CCCTCAAGTGCTCTCAAGAGTTCTTAAGGAAGTCAACCTCCAATCCACACAATCAACCAAAACCAAGAGATGATCAATCAATGAGAAACAAGTGAAGCCAACAAAAGAAAACTCTAAGACAAAACTAAAGAAGCCAACAAGACAATAGAAAAAGAAAGGACTAATTAAGAAATAAGCACACTCAAAAGCAGATTGCAAATAAGAAAAAATTGAAGAATTTAAAGAAGATTATGTAACGTTAAATAACAACTATTTTTTTTTTAGGTATGGAATCAAGCAAAATAAATGGAAGATTGGAAGAAATATATCAAAAACACACTTTTGTGTGTTGCAATTTTTTTTTTAGTATATAATTTTTTTCTCTCTTTTTTTTTTTTCAATGAGCACTACGTTAACAGTGTGCGATGAACAGTACCTTTCAATCCAATTCTAACCAAAGCTCTTGATACCAATTGATAACATGCACCCAGTCCACCGGTTAGCATGATATTGTCCGCTTTGGGGGTTAACCCCTCACAGTTTTGTTTCTCCTAGATATGACACACTAGGAAAAGGCCTCATGCTAGAAGGAAGGACGCCACAACTATTTAAAGACTGATAAGTCACTCCCCCCAACCGATGTGGGACTCATCATCCCTTCCTCTTCGAGAGAGTCCGCCACGGACGCACTCATAAGGCACTTAAGCTGCCACGGATACGCCGATAAGGTCCACCAGCTCCGGCCCAGGCTCTAATACCAATTGATGACAACCACAAACCGTGTCACCGAATTAACCGATCTTGAATTGGATTTCATACAATAAAAACAAAATTATTAGGGCACAAATAGGGATTGAAATAAGAAGAAAATTAATAAAAAGTGAAAATAGAATAGAGATGAAAAATGGTGCCACAATCACAAGATTGATAAGCCAAGGAATGATCGCCACAAGAGTCTTGGCCTCTTGATAAGATCAAAGAAAATTGGCTCACTTAAGAACCTAGAGTCACACGCTGTCACAAGAGTATTCAATCTCAAATTGTATTCAAAACTAATTAAAAGTGTGTATACAAGAGCTTATATATCCCTAATGCTTGTAAACTAATACTAAAGCAAACCGTAATAGGCTTCTTGTACCAACAAGCCTAAATTCAAATAAACTAAATAAAATAACAAGATTTCATCCTAAATAAAAACTCAAAATAAGTAATGACCAATATTAAAATAAATAAACTAAACATAATAATTAAATCCTAATAAAACTCATTAGAGTTCAAATCCTCTAAGCATATGTAATTGACAATCTTGGGCTTTTCTAACTCCAAATTAAGTTCTCTTTCAATTAGAACAGCAACAATCTTTTCTAAGTCTCCATTTATTCTTTTTCACCTTGTCTTTATCATTGGTCCTTGAAGTCCTTCTAATATCTTCAACTCTTTGTCTTCAATGCATCTTCCTTGATTTTCATCACAGGGATTCAAGAATCCATGAACTCACTAAGGATTACAAGAAAGTTTAGCCCTTCATAAGGATGGGTCTTACAAATTCAAGATTGAAACAAAGGGAAATCAACGTCATATTGCAAGAATTAAAGGAAGATGAAGAGAAATTGTAAATCAAACCCTCCCAAGGATCCTAAGCTTTACAAAATGCTCCTAAAGTGGCAAAAGAATCTAAGGATATGTAAAAAACTTCGTACTCTAATTTCTCAAATCCTATTAATAGTGCAAAAATTTTCACCCAAAGTGACTATAATGGTTTCATAGTGATAACGCGCAGCGTTCCATAGTGTTTACGCGCAATCCATAGTGGTTATGCGCGAGACCTATGATTTGGGCTTCTCTAGAGTTATCACTTTGGCCTCATAGTGATAACGCACAACGCCCCAAAGTGGTTACTCCCGCTCCATAGTGTTTACATGCAAGTCCTATATTTTTGGCCTCTCTGGAGTTGTCACTATGGGTTCATAGTGATCACTCTGGTCTGCCCTTCTGGAACTAGCTTGTTGTAGTGTTCACTATGGACTCAAAAGTGATCACTTTCACCTCAAACTTTCTTAAATGCTAAAAATCCATGGAAAAAGTCTAGAAATTCCTGCACAATTATTCAAATGATCAAAATTGCAAACTATATCTATGTAAATCAATGTAATTTAACCAAAAATTAAGAAACCTATTATAAATTGACCAAAATGATGTTTTTATGTTATTTACAATTCCTAGGTTTACTTTTTCTATTAAGAAACATTAAAATGACAAGTAAAAAACTAATAAAATATGGATTCATCACAACCCCAAACTTCAACTTTTGCTTGTCCTCAAGCAAATCAAAATTCAATAAAGTCACTTGTAAGAGGGTTGGATTTATCCGAAAAAATTTTCTTTCAAAATTTTCATTCCAAAATCAAACTCTTAATGACACCTTCAATGTTTCCACAATCATGGATTCATTCAACAAAGAAATCATGCCCAAATCAATTAATTCCAAGCAAAGTCCCACTAAACTGAACAAAAAATCTAGCAAGGTTTCATGTATTCCACACAATGCAAAGAAATTATCTAGCTCACAAGATGGTGTTTCACTCTTCACTTATCAATATTTCAGGCTAAGTGTTTTCCCTCAGTTCATGTATTTTGCCTCACCCTACCATATGCTTGCCTATATTCTCAATCTCCTTTGCCTAAATACAATGAACCACCTATCAAGAGGAATTTGTTGGTCACAAATGTATTAAGTTAGGTCAAATTTTGATCGAGGATCAAAACCTCAAGTGGGTTTTTAAGAGGAGGGAATTCCTTTGAGTGAGTGAGTACAACAACTAAGAGTGGACTGCATAAAATGATGCAGCAAGTGATATTCAAGCACTCTTTCACCATATTTTTCATTTACTTTGCCTTATGTGGAGAATCTTTTTTCTATCAAAATGACTTGCTATATTATATTTTTTTTCTTTTTCTTTTTCATTCATCATCATTTTTTATAGACTTTGACAATCATTCTCTTCTTCAAATTCAAGCAAATTTTATTTTTTGGCATGTAATATTGACATGTAAAATCCTCACCACCCCAAACTTAAGAGCTTTCTTGTCCTCAAGCAACTACAATCATAATCAACACCCCAAACTTAGTTTATTGCATCCACTCTTGATGCAACTCAAAAGAAATACCTCTATTAAGGGAAGGAAAATATTTTTGCAGACTAAGTTTGGTAAAAGAAGGAGCGTGGAACAAGGGAAATTAGGTGCAAAGGTGTTGAATGGTGGGTGTGTGTGTTCAAAGATGGCCTCAATCATCTAGATGGAAGATTTCACAATGCATATTCAATTAAAAAGCAGGGCAAGTTCTAGAGGATAGATGCAACAATACATGCAAATGGCACACAGAAAGGAATTTAAAGGCTCAATTCTCTACCATGGTAAAAAGTGATAATTACTTAACAACATGTGATTACAATTCACCATACAAGAAAATATGTGTAGCATGGTAGGAACAAAAATATTCAAAAACAGAGAATGATCATGAGTCAAATGAGAAGTGCAATCAGAATGTAACTATGGAATTACAAAACTGGACTATATTAAAAGAGAGATAAGGAAAATATTTTTTGTATTTTCAATTAGAACTGTGCAAGAAAATTAGACTAAGAACAATGGAAACAGAGGCAAAGAGATCATCCCTTTTCATAGAAAGTAGAATCACAACTCAAAGATTAAATTCATGCTCCTCTTGATGGGACTGAGGGCATTTTTTGCATAAATATACACAGAATTCAGTATAGGGAGCAAACATTAAACTAGAAAATGGAATAGATATATATAAGCGAAAATGTTGGAGATGTTCAGATTAAGAGAGACAATATGAAAATAAAGCAGTAAAGGTGGAAGCAAAAATGTGCGATATTTACAAGGAATTGATGGTTAGCAGTAAATACAGGGAAATAGTAGAAAATAAGTGAAAAGTGAGTGCAGTGAAAAAGAAACTAAGACTAAATAGCATCTTCATCAGAGCTGGAAAAGGCAGAGTCATCATCATCTTATGCTGCTGCTGGGAGGTCTTCATCTAAGGTACTAGAGTTGCTATCATCAGCTTCAGTTCTGGCAGAGGTAATACGAGGAAAAAGGTGGAAGGTCACTCTGGACTGCTGCTTGTAGGTAAGGGGCACTGAAAGTAGGAGCTTCATAAATCTGCGTGGTAGTCATCCCCAGCTTCTTCCCTATGTTCAGCAGCGTCGTGTCCATAAGTGTCATGAGGGCTTTCTGCCTAACATGAATGGAGTCCTGCCTTAGAGCAATCTGCTTCATCTGCTCCCTCATCCTCATTGGAGTATCCCTCCTGTAGTTAGCTGGTAGGGATAGTCTTGGGTTAGCAGTCTTTCTGGGTTTGAAGAAGTCCTTCACCATTGCTGTAGTAATAGAAGGGGCAGCTTTGATTTTCTGCAGGTCGTCACCAAAATCTACCCCAGCATCTTGGCATAGCATGGTGATGATGGATGAAAAATCCATGGAATCTCTACTCCTGCTCAAGATGTCCATGATAGCACTACTGATTACCTCACCCACATGGATGGGCATGCTTGTCAGAATTGCATAAATGAGCTCTGCTCTCTTTACTGCTAAGGTAGAAGAGTGGAGGACCGGCATGAAAGAACTGAGAATGAAGACACTCCAGACTTTTGCTGCAGGGATTAGGTTCCTTGTGGTTAAGTTCTTGGACTGCATCTTGCAGTCAAATTCCCAATTTTTACCTTCCTTGTAAACAGTTTCAAGGATAGGCTTGTAGTCCTTATCCTCTTGGATGCTAAAGGTGGTAAAGTCCAGTTGGTCAGCTAACTTATGCATAACTGGAATATTCAGAACTCTCTGAATGTGGGAGGGGTGAAGTTGATCAGTTTTCCCCTCACCATGCTGTGTTTGGGAAGGAGAGTGTCGCCTTTAACTCTCATTGCGTTGGCAAAGAACTCTTGAGTGATTTCCTTCCACCCATTACCAACACAAGTCGTGAAAAGGTCCTATCCTCTTCTCTAAATCTCCTCCTCAAATTGGGAATAGGTGCCTTCTTGAATTTCAAAGTTATGGTCCTGTACCAGCTTCCTTCTTAAGATGTTTGTTTTGAAATATTCTTCATGCTCCAATGACCTAAACTTGGGGTCATGGTTAGGTGGGGGTGCAGAGGAAGATGCACCAGCTGTTTTGGCCCTCTTGGACCTTGGAGTGCTCTTTCTTGGTGTATTAACCATAGTTGCTGTAGAAGAAAAGAGTTTGTGTGAGATATATATTGATATTATGTAGCAACTGCGTGTATCATTTAAAAGAACATGCAACTGAAAAGTGAAGGATTAAACCAGAATATTGTGATGGATTACAAAGCCAAAATGATCACATTATGGTTCAGGAAAGACAACAGCAAGGCAGCCAAGTTGGAGATGGACAGTGATGCAGCAGAATGAAAATAAGTGCATAGAAATCACACAAGTAGTAACAGGCCACAAAAGAGCAGTTTCTATGCAAGCAATTTACAAGGATGTTTATTTTCAATTTGCATAGAGTAATGAACAAGGAATTATGCATGTGTGCAGTGGAACAGTGGAGTTAGTAACTAAAAAGATATGTATGCAGAGTGTATCAGAGATTAAATAAGCTAAACAGGGTGCAGTCAGGGCCAGACATGCATCAACACAATAGCACAGCAATGCAGAGAATGTGAGGATGTGGCAGAGATGCATATATTAAGTGTGGTCAAGGTTAATACAGAGTGAATGAAGTGCATTTCATGCTTGTATACTAATTGCTATATGATGCAGTAACAGGACAGCACACATATAACCAGAGTAATAACTCTTAATCCCTTTTGATCAAAAAAATGTATAGCAGAATTTTCAACATAATTTTTTGCATGAAAGGTTCAAGCATAGGCAGGGCAGCCTTCCAATTCTAGAATGCAGACATGAAATGGAAATACATATGTGTGCAGAGAAGTGAAAATGGCATTCTGAATTTACCAATATACAGTAAGGCACAATGAAAATTATAACAGAAGAATTGAAAATTTTTGGGTGCAAGTATGCATGGTGTGGCAATTTTTAAAGTCTGACAAATGAGAGTATAGAGCAATTGCAGCTGAGTGTTATTTAAGGCAATGTACACACAGGGGAATGAATCATCAAGTAAGCACACAATTTTAATTCCTTTCCACCAACAATTTAGATTGCAATTTACAGAATGTTCAAAATAATTTCAATGCAAAGGCTCAGAACAGAATTCCCAACTGACAGTAATTATCAAAAATGCATTGAGTGGAACTAAGATAACACTCCAGACCTTGTGGCAATCATGTTAGCATAGCCAAAATCAGTGAATACAAGCCTAGGATGGTCGGCACTACATCAGAATACACAATCATTCACAACTTCGAATGGGAGTGACTACCCTAGGGTTGATAATGGTGGAACACAACATATTACCCAACTTAAAGTACCCCAACCCCTTTCAAACACATAATCATGTTCAAATTGATGGTACTTGCGTAACAATTCTACAAACGAGGGTTAAAATCAAAGTTCCCAATTGACAGCGAGCATGCTAGGGTTAGAGCAATGGTAAAATGCAAAATTGATCACAATTTAATACCCCTAATCCATTTGACACAAGCAATCCTACTTCGACTAACAGAAGGCACACAGAAATTTCAAAGTATGTAACCCCAGATCAAAATCCCCAAATTCTGCATTTATGAACCCTAACACAGAAAAAGAAAAAATTAAAAAATTTACCTAGATGGGAGTTCGAGATTATTGCAGAAATGCAGAATGGAATGGGTTTTAGCACACAATAGTGAAGGGAAAGCGAGAAATCATAGGAAGGTTAGAGATGAGAGTGAAAGCATTCAGAGGATGAGTGAAAGTGAAGGCTGGAGTAGTCACTTTCAGTTTATATAGGCTGTGGCCGTTATCACTTTCAAACCATAGTTAACATGCACATTTATATTTTGCAAGTTAAGTGTCGCACGTAATCACTATGGGGTGAAAGTGATAACTACAGAGAAGGCGTTTTGTGAAGTGAGTTGCGCGTAGTTACTATGAAATGGAAGTAACTACGCGCATCATAGGTGGCCCAGGAGGTGCCTCTGTACTTATCACTATAGAACCAAAGTGATAACTATAGAGAGCCTTCTATATTCCAGTCATCTGCGTGTGTTCACTATGAACTGGGAGTGATTACGCGCAGACTCATGACCCATAAACCTTTTGAAAGTGATCACTATAGGCTGAAAGTGAAAACTACAGAGAGTGGGTTCACTTACCATAGCATGAAAGTAACTACTATGAAATGGAAGTGGGCACCTTGCATATGTCTTGGAGCATAGGAAATTCCTATGGTCTCTGCATGAATCAAATTCAAAATTTAAAACTGTCCACTGTAAAAAGAATGAAGAATATGTAATAAAACCATGTTTAATTCATCTCAATTCATAGGTCAATCATAAAAATGCTTATTGAATGAAAAGAACCATAAAAATAAAATTAAAAATTCTTAATCAACTTGTGAGTTGCTTCTCACACAGCGCTTCTTTAACGTCACTAGCTCGACGTATGAAATGAGTTATGGGGGCCAAGGGTTGGAATGGAGGTTGGTGCATGGTGATTCCAAGTCAATCTCCTCAACTTCTTCCAAGGTAGCTAAGTTTTGCAAGAATGGCTTCAACCGGTGCCCATTCACCATAAAGCTTTTGCTAGTGGAGTCACTTATCATCTCTACTGTACCATGGGAAAATACCTTTGTAATAGTGAAGGGTCCAAGCCACCTTGATTTGAGCTTTCCAGGCATGAGTTTAAGACGAGAATTGAACAAGAGAACCTTTTGACCAACATATAACTCTTTGCTTGAAATCTTCTTGTCATGGTATTGTTTGGTCTTTACCTTGTAAATTCTGGAGTTCTCATAGGCCTCAAGACGTAGCTCTTCCAACTCTTGCAGTTGTAATTTCCTTTGTTCTCTAGCTGAGTCATAATGGATGTTTCAAGTCTTTACTACCCAATAAGCTTTCTGTTCCACCTCAACTGGTAGATGGCAGGCTTTTCCATAGACCATCCTGTATGGTGACATTCCCAAGGGTGTCTTGAATGTTGTTTTATGTGCCCACAAGGCATCATCAAGCCTACGACTCCAGTCCTTTCTGTGGGGCTGCACTACTCTCTCAAGTATTTTCTTAATTTCCCTATTAGAGAGCTCAACCTGCCCACTTGTCTGTGGGTGGTAGGCAGTGGAAACTTTGTGTATAGCTCCATATTTCTTCAACAAGACTTCCATAGTCCTATTGCAAAAATGACTTCCTTGATCACTAATGATGGCTCTAGGAATTCCAAACCTGCAAAATAAGTTGCTACAAATAAACTCTGCAACAACTCTAGCATCATTAGTTCTGGTGGCTTTAGCTTCCACCCATTTTGAGACATAATCAACAGCAAGAAGTATATAAAGAAAACCAAAAGAGAAGGGGAATGGCCCCATAAAATCAATACCCCAGATATCAAAGATGTCACAATATAGGATAGGTTGTTGAGGCATCTCTTGTCTCCATGTAATTACTCCTCCTGCTCTTTGGCATCTCTCACAAGTAGAGTATGCTTGCCATGAGTCCTTAAAATTGGATGGCCAATACAATCCTGCATCCAGCACCTTTCTTGCTGTCCTCTGAGGTCCTTGATGACCTCCTACAGCTAAGGCGTGGCAAAACCGCAGGATAGATGGAATTTCCTCATCAAGCACGCACCTTCTGATGACTTGGTCACTGCAGAATTTCCATAAATAAGGGTCATCCCAAACGTAGTGTTTGGCATCACTTCTTATCTTATCCTTTTTAGCTTTTGGTGCACCTGCTGGAAAAGCTCCTGCAACTAGAAAATTAACAATATCAGCATACCAAGGTGCCTGTGAAGTATACAACTCTAAAAGTTGTTCATCAGGAAAATCATCTAAAATTGGAATAGGGTTTAGAACTCTCTTTATCTTGCTCAAGTGGTCGGCTACAAAATTTTGAGTTCCACTTCTTTCCTTGATCTCTAAATCAAATTCTTGAAGTAAGAGCATCCACCTTATAAGCCTGGGCTTAGAATCTGTCTTTTTCAGCAAATATTTTAAGGCAGAATGATTAGTAAAAACCACAACTTTTGACCCTAACAGATATGATCTAAACTTGTCCAGTGCAAAGACTATGGCCAACAATTCTTTTTTAGTTGTGGTGTAATTATATTGTGTTGGATCCAAAGTTCTATAAGCATAATAAATGATGTGAGGAAACTTACCAACCCGCTGTGTCAATGCAGCCCCCACTGCAAAATTGGATGCATCACACATTAATTCAAATAGTGTGGTCCAATTTGGAGGTTGGATTATGGGTGTGGTGGTCAGGGCTTCCTTAAGCATATTAAACGCTTCCTTGCACTTTTCATCAAAATTGAACTCAGCCTCCTTTTGCAAAAGCTTGGACAGGGGAATGGCAATTTTGGAGAAGTTCTTAATGAATCTCCTGTAGAACCTTGCATGGCCAAGGAAAGCATGAACCTCTCGAATGCAAGAGGGGTAAGGCAATTGTGCAATAACATCAAGTTTTGCAAGATCTACTTCAATTCCCTTTTCAGATATGATATGGCCTAACACTACACCTTGCTCTACCATAAAATGGCATTTTTCAAAATTAGGCACAAGGTTAGTATCAATGCATCTTTTCAATACTTTTTCCAGATTATTCAAACATGCAGAGAAAGATGGGCCATACGCAGTGAAATCGTCCATAAAGACTTCTATGCAATGCTCCACTAAATCAAAAAAGATACTTAACATACATCTTTGAAATGTTCCTGGAGCATTGCATAAGCCAAAGGGCATTCTCCTATAGGCAAAAGTGCCAAAAGGACATGTAAAAGTGATTTTTTCCTGGTGTTCAGGTGCAATGCAAATTTGGAAATAACCGTAAAAACCATCAAGAAAACAATAATGAGACTTACCAGCCAACCTTTCTAACATCTGATCAATGAAAGGCAATGAAAAGTGATCCTTCTGGGTCTCTTGGTTAAGCCTTTTGTAGTCTATGCAGACTCTCTAACTATTCTGGACTCTGGTGGGTATCAACTCATCTTTTTCATTTTTCACCACAGTGAGTCCAAATTTCTTTGGGACCACTTGGACCGGGCTAACCCAAGTGCTATCTGATATAGGGTAGATAATCCCAGCTTGCAGCAACTTGGTGACCTCCTTCTTCACCACGTCCAGAATAATGGGATTTACCCCCCTCTGAGGCTGCCTTACTGGCTTAGCACCCTCCTCCAATAATACTCTGTGCATACAAAGAGAGGGGCTGATTCCAGGAATATTAGCAAGGATCTATCCTATAGCTTTCTTGTGCCTCTTAATCACTTCTAGGAGTTTCTCCTCTTGTTCTACATTCCCCTTGGTAGAGATTATCACTGGAACCTTCTTATTTGCCTCTAGATAGGCATATTTCAGATGTTCTAGTAAAGGTTTAAGCTCCAGTGTGGGAGGTTGCTCCACAGAAGGAAGTGGTTTAGCACTCTCAGTAGACGAAATATCTGCAACATTCAAATCAAAGGGGTTAGATTCAATTGTACTTGCTGAATTCAAAACATCACGTTCTTCCCCTATCGATTTTTCAATCTCTTCAATATTAGAATTTGCAGAATTCATATTCAAAAAGTCAGAAATACAAGAGTCACACATAGAAGAATTATTACAATATTCACAAATGGGAGTATCTATACATTCAATAAAATCAAAAGAAAAATTTGTTTCTAAGAATTCAGAAAATTGTTCATTTAAAAAATCATCAAATAAATCAATTTGGAAGACATAATGTTCTTCAGATGGGTGCTTCATAGCATCAAGTATGTTGAAGCGCACAATGTTGTCCCCAAACTCTATGGTAAGTGTCCCGGAATGCACATCATTGACTCTCCCTCTTGCATGTCCAAAATGTAAAAGTCGGCTAGAAAGATGAGATCATTCATCCTAACTAGTACATCTTTAACAATCCCAGCTGGATTTGTTATGCTTCTATTGGCTAACTGAATAACCACACCTATAGGCTGCAGAGGGCCAAGAGACAGTGAAGTAAAAATGGACAAAGGCATGACATTTATAGATGCTTCTAAATCTAGCATGGCATTCTCAATTCTATTATTACCAATAATGTATGGGATAGTGAATGTTCCTAGGTCCTTACATTTCTCAAGCATTGTGGACCTTTGTTTTTCAAAAAGTGCAGAAACATTCCTACCTATATTTACCTTCTCATTACCCTTAAGACACCTCCTATGGGTGCATAAGTCTTTCAAGAACTTGGCGTACTTGGGTATTTGCTTGATTGCATCTAGTAGAGGTATGTTCACCTCTACCTTCCTAAAGGTCTCAAAAATCTCTTTCTCAGCCTCTTCAATCTTTTTACTTGTCAGAATAACTCTCTAAGGGAATGGTAGAAGAATTGGCCTTTCAACATTTTCTTCTACCTCTAGTTGGGTAGGAGTAGGTTCTGGTTGTTCTTGAGTCATTTCCTCTCCATTTTGACCAACTATAGCTGGAGTACAACTTGGTTCTTCCTTCTCTTTGGGCATTGTGGGCTCTTGCATCACTTTTCCAGGCCTTAAGGTGATTGCACTCACATTTTTGAGATTCACAATAGTTTGTGTAGGAAGGTTCCCTGAGCCTTGAGATTGCATCTGGTTTAGAGAGGAGGCTAACTGTCCCATTTGATTCTCCAAAGTTTTGATACTAGCCTCGGTTCTTTGCTAGAAAGTGATGTTGTTCATAGTCAATTGCTTCATGAGCTCCTCCAATAATGGTTCATTTTTCTGGGATGCACTTGGTTGTGAAGAAGATGATTGATGATGGTGCTGGGCTTGTTGCGGTTGATGTTAGGATTGATAGGATCTATTTGGGCCTGCATGATGTGCTCGGTATTGAGTGCCTTGCTGCTAGTTGTGTTGTTGAGAATTGCTCCCCCATCTCAAATTTGGATGGTTCCTCTAGCCTGAGTTGTATCTATTGGAAGATAGATCCCAATTGGATTGGTGCTGTGAATTTGGAAAAGGAAACTTATTAGTGTAAACGTTTGCAGCATAAGCCTGAGCATTACCTTCTAGAGTGTCAGACTCTTGTAGTGTGGGGCAGGTATCAGTGTAGTGGTCTGTAGCTGAGCAAATACCACACAACATGGCTAGGATGGATGGTCGAGGAGGTGAAGATGCAGCAGCACTCTTTTGCATGGAAGCCAATTGCTTCACCATGGATGCTAATTCATCAAGTTTGTGTTCCAGCTTATTAGATTCAACAACTTGTACTTCACTCACATTTCTAAAAACACAAGAATTTTTCCTTGTTGCAAATTGTTGGGAGTTGGCGGCCATGTTCTCAATCAAGTTGCGAGCTGTAACCGGAGTTTTGTCAACCAATGCCCCTCCACTTGCAGCGTCTATCATGCTTTGGTCCATAGGGTACAGTCCCTCATAAAAATATTGTATCAACAATTTATCACTAATTTGGTGATGGGGGAAACTAGCACATAGTCTCTTGAATCTTTCCCAATATTCATAAAGGGTTTCTCTTTCAAGCTGCCTTATCCCACATATTTCCTTCCTTATGGATGCAACTCTTGATGCTGGGAAAAACTTCTCCAAGAAAAGTCTCTTCAAGTTATCCCAACTAGTAATAGATCCTGGAGGAAGATAGTAGAGCCAATCCTTGGCTGCATCCATCAGAGAGAACAGAAAAGCTTTTAATTTGGCATGCTCCTCAGGCACACCTTGTGGCCTCATAGTTGAACAAACAATGTGGAACTCCTTGAGGTGTTTGTGTGGATCTTCACCTGCAAGGCCATGAAATCTTGTCAACAAGTGTATTAGTCCAGTCTTTAGTACAAAAGGAGCAACTATGTCAGGATACTATATGCATAAACTTTGATATGTTACATCTGGTGCAGCCAGTTCCTTTAATGTTCTTTCACCGTCAGCCATTTTTTCAATTTTAAATTCTAATGAATAAGGTGATGAATAGATAGATGAAGGAGATGAAGGTTCCTCAAAATGTTTAGAATTATGTCTATGTAATCTAATGCTACTATGAAATGTCCTATCAATCTCTGAGTCAAGTGGATACAAATCTCCAGGATTCTACCTGGTCATACAGTAGAAATTAACTATGAAGAATGGAAAGAAGTAAACTAAATGAAACAGCAAAAATGCAAAAAAATTCAGATGGCAATTATGCAGAAAAACTAATAACTAAGTGCAGTAAATTAAAGCATTAACACTAAACAGCAAAAACAGAACGAAGTTGCAAACTATGACACAAAAATATGCAACACGCAAGCACAAATTATGCAACAAAAACAGAACAATAGTGCAGAAAAATTGAAAACAGAACACTAAAATAGAGCAACTAACAAGTTCAATGCAAAATTAACACCAAAGTCCCGGCAACGGCGCCAATTTGATGAACGATAAGTTTTCATTTCATTTTGCAAAAAGATTTGTCATCAACCTTCATCAAAATTTGCAGAAAAAGTTTGTAGTATCTAGGGTGCAAGCCTCAAATTCAAGATTGACACAAAAGGAAATCAACATCATAATGCAAGAATTAAAGGAAAATGAAGAGAAATTGTAAATCAAACCCTAAGATTAGCCTTGGCTGTCACCCAAGGATCCTAAGCTCTGTAAAATGCTCCTAAAGTGGCAAAAGAATCTAAGGATATGTAAAAAGCTTCGTACCCTAATTTCTCAAATCTTATTTATAGTGAAGAAATTTTTGCCCAAAGTGACTATGTTACACACTTTTTATCGCAGCACTCAAATGGTGTAATTTCACTACTAGCAAGTATACTAGGTAATTGTAGCAAGTTATAAAATGTGGAAATCAGATCGAGTCCTAAGTATCGTCTTCTAGGATCTTATTTTTAATCACCAATTCACAAGATAATAACCATTTGCACCAAACAATTCATTGAACAGATTTCAATATGCAAAAAAGTAAAATTCAAAATTAAGGAAATGAGAAATTGTTAAAAATAGAATGTTAACTTGTACTATTAGAATGAATCACGAATGGAAGAAAGTTAGGAATATATTTCACTAGAATATCAATATCAATTCAGTTCTGCCTCTAACATTCAAGCATTTGATTGATTCACAATCGGTTTCTCTTTACAATAACCAAAGATTGATTCCTCAACTCATTGGTCCTAATATTCAACCAAATCTCCCTAATTCCTTAGGCCAAATTCAGTTCAATATTGCATTACGAATTAGAACCAAAAGATTGCAAAACTAAGGCCACTTATCCCTAAGAAAGTCAAGAGTTTTGGTAATTAATTCAGATCCAAGCAACAAACCCAATTTCCATTAGTAAAGGTTACTATTTGATTAATCAATTGAATTTCCATTCAAAGATCAAGTAAACACAGAATTAATCCCTCAATCAAATCAAATACTCATAGTTCAGAGTCAAAACGAAATCAATATATCAATTCTAGATCCATAAATCCCTAACAAAAGAGTTAGAAACACATTACAATGAAATGGAAAGAAGCAAGAAGAAAAGAAGATGAAAAGTAGAGAGCCATCTCGATAACTTTGCCTCCCTCCAGATTCCTCTAGCAAGGAAGAACAAAAGTCACTCCTCTCCTCTCCCTCTGACTTCCCTTGGAAGTTAAAACGGTTACAAAATGAATACAAAAACTAAAAATGAAAAAAAGACCTTATTTCTAAGTTCCTAATTCCTATTTATAGAGCTCCTTTAGTTCTTCAACTTGACCTTTAAAATTCTTATAGTTAGTTGTTCCCAGGTGTTCTGGAATCTTCTAAAAGTGATACAGAAGCTCCAAATGTCCAGAATTGGCAAGAAGAAGAAGTTATAAAGTTGCAGAAATCGATGCCAAAATGCGCAGTGGCTGGAGTAAAGGCGCGTGGATTTGCGCCTTGGCTGCATGTGATTTGCGTTTCCACGCACTCAGCGCCAAGGCTAGACTTTACTTGGATGCTCAGTTCCGCGTTGCCATGCCTTGCACTATGAGTTGCAATGCACTCTTGCGCGCCAAGGCTTCAAGTGATGTGCGTTTCAACGCATAACACTCTAATTAATGCTTCTTCTATATGTTTAGCTCTACGTTGCTATGCCATCTGCTATGTGTTTCCACGCTCTGTTGCGTGCCAAAGTGCCAGGTTATGTGCGTTTCAACACAATGACAGTTATCCAGGTTCAATTGCTAGAGTGTTAACGCGCATCACTCAGAGTAGCCACGCATACCCAGTGCTGTGTTTTGTTCTTTCCACGTTCAAACACCAATCACTTAGAGTTGTAATGCCCAGCTCTTAGGATTTCTTCAAGCTTGATTCTTTGACTATTCTTCTTCAATTTCAGCTTCTAATCCTTCATTTAAGCACTTTCAACAACTTTTCATCTTTTTGCATGAACTCCTTCAAAAATTTAAACAATTTTTAATATTTCAACAAAACAAACAATTTATACTAATTATATTATTTTTGTGATCTTCTTAAGTTTATTTTAGAACTATTTTCCAAATTATTAACCAAAAACTATGCTAAAAAAATGGTAAAATATGGATTTATTAAACTATTATGGTTTCATAGTGATAAGGCGCAGCGTTCCTTAGTGTTTACGCGCAGTCCATAGTGATTACGCGCGAGACCTGTGATTTGAGCCTCTCTGGAGTTATCACTTTGGCTTCATAGTGATAACACGCAATGCCCCAGAGTGGTTACTCTCACTCCATAGTGTTTACGCGCAGGTCCTGTGTTTTTGGCCTCTCTGGAGTTGTCACTTTGGTATCAGAGTGATAACTTTGTCTGCTCTAGAGTATCTACTATGGTTCCATAGTAGCTACGCGCAAGTCTTGCACTTTTTGGCCTCTCTGGAGTTGTCACTATAGGTTCATAGTGATCACTCTGGTCTGCCCTTCTGGAACTAGCTTGCTGTAGTGTTCACTATGGACTCCAAAGTTATCATTTTCACCTCAAACTTTCTCAAATGCTAAAAATCCATGGAAAAAGTCTAGAAATTCCTGCACAATTATTCAAATGATCAAAATTGCAAATTATATCTCTGTAAATCAATGTAATTTAACCAAAAATTAAGAAACCTATTATAAATTGACCAAAATGATGTTTTTATGTTATTTACAATTCCTAGGTTTACTTTTTCTATTAAGAAACATTAAAATGACAAGTAAAAAACCAATAAAATGTGGATTCATCACTATCTTCACAAATCTCTCTATAAATCTCCGATAGTAACCTGCTAGGCCCACAAAATTACGAATATTTGTGGCTGTCTTTGACCTTTCCCACTGCAACACTGCTTCAACTTTGGAAGGATCAACTGCAGGTCCCTTAGCTTAAATAACATGGCCAAGGAACTTCACTTCCTCTAGCCAAAACTCACACTTAGATAATTTAGCATACAACTATTTCTCCCTCAAAACACTAAGTCTCTACATGTTCTTCTAACGAACTAGATTAAATCAAGATATCATCAATAAAAACTACCACAAACCGATCCAGAAAAGGTCTAAAGATCTTATTCATGTAGTCCATAAACAATGTCAGAGCATTAATGACTTCAAAAGGCATCGCTATATACTCATAATGACATATATAGTACGGAATACTGTCATTGGGATATCTTCATCCTTTACTCGGATCTAATGGTACCCAGACTTCAAATCAATCTTAGAGAATACTTTAGCGCCTTTTAATTGGTCCATCAAATCATAAATTTTTGACAACGGGTACTTTTTCTTGATTGTCAACTTATTCAGCTTACGATAATCAACACATAATCTAGAACTTCCATTTTTATTTTTCACCCAGAGAACTGGTCCTCCCAAAGGCGATACACTTGGCCTAATCCACTATTTCTACATTACATCCTCAATTTGCTCCTTAAGCACCATTAACTCTTTCGATGCCATTCTGTAAGATGCTACAGACATTGGCTCAGCTCCAGGAATCAAGTCTATAGCAAACTCCACCTCTTTATGCAGAGGTATTCTAGGAATATCCTCTGAGAAGATCTTAGGGAATTCCTGTACTACTAGTATTGACTGAAGGCTTTGCTCAATTTCTATATTCATAACACCCAACAAAACAAAACAAGATACTTCCTCACCCAAGGATGTTTCTACTTGGCGAGCAGAAATCAATTCAACACAACCTTGTTACTAAGGAAAGATTAAACACATGTGACCATAATCAATCAGCACATGATTGGCAGTTAGCAAATCCATACCTAATATTACATCTAACCCTGACATCGGGATACAAATAAGATTTACTTTGTACCTTCGTCCCTCAACTACTATGGGACCCCTAACACAAACTATCGAAGTCTTGATTGAACTAAGAGTAGGTGTCGATACTACAAATTCACATCCTAGATCACTCACCGACAATCCTAAGTTTCTCACACAAATATCTCTAATCCATTGCTTGGCTGCATCTGGCCGATCAACTTTAGTAAACTCAGGAGGATCGTTCTTCCTAAACTCAAACAATCCCTGATATACAAGATGAGGTACAGTTGAGGCAGTGGCTGCTGCTGCTGCTGCTTCCTGTGATGCAGCAACGACTTAATTTGCAGTCTGTTGCTGCTGTATCACTTCTAAACTTTGTCTCACTGTGGCTATCATAGCCTCCATAACGTGAGTCATTTGATTCACGTCAGCAACAGGAGGAGGGTTTGCAACAGATCTTCTTAGTCTACCCATTTTAATGTATAGAATAAAACTAGCCTAGATTAGTAACATTTAACACATTTGGCAATACCACCACATAGCTATATTCATAGATTTAGCTTACAATAATATATTCAAATTAAGTATATCATAGCAATTTAATCAATTTAACGCTCAGCATAACATCATATCAGCATTCACACAACATAGCAAACACACTTATCTCAGTAATCTTTTACAACTTAGCTTAACAGTCTATTATTCATGCAGCATGACTCGCTTGTAGCTCACCCAAGTGTCATATAACAAACTTTCCTATATCTGCCATGTCTCGGAACCGAGGTGATCAAACTCGTTCCCTCACAACCTGATTATTAGAAACTATCATATATGATTCACATGCCTAACATGCACAACTAGCACCTAACAACCTCAACCCGTAGGTTTACCTAGACCATGCTCTAATACCACTAAAATGTCACAACCCCTTTTTATAAGGAACTGAGAATATTATTTCTACAGGACTTACTTATTTAAGATAGATAAATAATGGAGAATATAAGTGTAAAATTCACTTCTCATTCAAAATAAAACAAAGTTCCTTATGACAAATATCCAATAGAACAACATAATATTACATTTAGTTCATAATACTCAAAATACATAAAATTATACTACATAGCTCCCTCAATATGAGGTCTCAAAATATAAGGAAAAAGAACTTTAATGCAAAATTTATCGACTTCAGCTTCTAACATTTCTACACTGCCCCTCAGCATGTGAAGTAGATGCAACACCTGCTACATCTATTCACGTACCACTGTATGATCATCATAGTACACACGCATACAACAGCATAGACAGAAATGAAAGGGTGAGCTTAAAAAAATAAAATAAAATCATATATATATATAGAGCAAAATATTACTCACAACAACAGCCCCAACCATTCCTAGCCCATCTAATGCACAACATGAAAATAATTTTCAACTGGCTTCACAACCTAAGTAAACCAGAAGGAACCGAGCCAGTTTGGGAGTGACCCATTCTGGTATCTAGATCCAGACAGTACAGCATAACACAGCATAGCTTAGCATGCTCTATCGTTACACGTCTACCCACCTAAACGTGTAACTCAGCTCTATAATGATGCAAGACATATATCTCAGCATGATGCAATACTGCTAAAATTATTTCAACAGCTCAGCTAAGACAAGTTTATAATAAATCAGCCAAATCTCAGTGTTATTAAATCAATTACCATAGAAAAATAACTTTAAAATATTAAATCCTTTATATCTTAACTTTTATCAAAGAGATCTAACAAAACCAACTTAAATCTTTCATTAATAGCATATCAAACCGTTCAAAAAATAGTTCATAGGCTAAAGTAAGCTCCCCTTACCTTAAAACGGTGATTCATACCAAATCTACCGAATATTACTTGTTTTAATGCAAGATTCACCGAAGATTTAGCTTTAGAACAGAGTCTCTCCTAAGAACACCATGAACTTTTATGAGGAAGAGAAGAAGAAAAGAAACGAAAGGTAAAACTAACTTTCAACATAGAAAAACTTACTTTAAATCCCTTAGAATGGAGTAGAATCACAGATCTGGAGAGAAATCTAAGTTTATGAGGGTTTAGTATGAGAGAAAATGGTGGTATATGGCCTTGGAAACTTTGAGAAGTGTGAAGAAGTGAAAATTTTGTGCAATGACCGCTATTTATAGAAAAATAAAATGTTGGTACTGTTCACGTAAGAATTATTGTTCACACAACCTTACTATTCATACCAGAGTACTGTTCACGCCAGAACTACTGTTCATACCGCTACTGCTCACGCGTTTTACATTGTTCACTGACATTGTTCACTTTTTAAAAAAAAAAAAACTCCACCTAAATCTATTCCAATACCAAATAACCCTTCAATTAACACTTAACAAGTATAAAATATTATATATTACTCAATAATATATTATAGGGTTGACATTTAATGCACAGGAAAGTGCAAAAAAATCAAACATTACTGTTGTTCATGCAGGTTTATCAGCTTTGCACCATTTTTGTAATTTATCCCGTAAGGTATTCAAACAAAGTCCAAAATTAACATAAAAATATGTGTTGGAAAGCTATTTTCATATAGTTTACGAATATAAATTTTTTAGGTTAAAACAACTTTGTACAGAGGGCGTAAAAATTATTTCTTTATACCGTTTTTGCAGAAAATGTAAAAATAAAGGTGCTCATGTATTTCATGCGTTTGAGGGGGGAAATCGATGTTAGATTTGAGCTCAAGATATGCCCTTGGAAAGATGATTTTATTAATTTTTGTTAGTATAGGGACAATGATGTAGAAGAAAAAATGACCGCCTTGTGCTGTCTTGGTAATTTCTTAGTGGAAATTTTGGTAGCTTGAATTATAGTGATGAGATAGACGTGTAGTGGTTGAACTCTGAGTTCCTCTTCCTAAGCAGTTGAAATAGAAATTGAATAAAAGGAAACTAAGGGCTCTCAAATCATGGAACTAAATGTAAAGTGACAGGAAGAGGTATGTTTATGTATTTTGAGGACTTTAATGGAAGATATTAGTGGAGGGATGCATGAAGAGCTAGTTAGCTGTTATCATAAGAGGTTTTGGAAGTTTTGGTTCATAAAAGCTGGGCAACCCTTTGTGATGCCTTTCTTTCTATACGTTTTTGAACCTTAAAGGGGATAGGCCAACGAGATGGATAGAAGAATATATATCTATGGCGAAGAGGAAGGTTGAGACATAACAATTAGTGTAATGGGGACATAGGAAGAAATCAAGCAGAGTGTATCCTTACATATACCTATAAGAAGACATGAATCCAGTAGTCAGATTTGAGGAATAATAGGTGGATTCTGAAATGCTACACATGCAGAATAGTAATGAGGCCATATGTACTTTCTCATGCATTTAGTGAGGTGGGATCGAGAATGAAAGGGACAACTATTAAGATTTATTTCATCAGACCATGTGTCATTTAGCTGATCTCAAGTCTTTTTATACCATATTCAAATATGTGCCTTAGATATTAGAGATTAAAATTTAGTGATAGGAGGGTGGACAGGTGTAATTTAGGTAGAAGGCCACAATTACGTCTATCATGCATAAAGTTTAAGATTAACGAGGGTTGTTGATAAAATTAGTTGATATGTTTCATTATTACGTAGCATTATGAGGGGATATTTTATGGGACTGTTTTCTCCTAGAAGTGCATATACAACTGTACTCGATGTCAGTGGTGAGAATTTAAGTTTAGGGGCAGTTTTACCCAGAGCAATCTATATGATGTAGTGGCTAGTTAAATAAAAGAAATATATATATATATATATATATATATATATATATTTAACACAACGGGAAGAGGTTTTGACCTTATAATCGAGTGAGAGGAAGTCTATACATGTGACTCATATACAAGGCTAATATGCTCTTTTCATACAAAAACAAGTGAAGTTTAGGATACCAAGCCAAGATTGTTGAGATGGATCCTCCTGCTGCAGGAATTTGAATTGAAAATTAGAGATAAAAACGGAAAGGAAAATAGGGTAGCTGATCATCTGTCCAAACTTCTATTGGAAAGTCTAACCCCTAACTCCTTAGAAATCAATGAAGAATTTCCAGATGAAAGGCTACTTGCAATGGAAGACATGCCTTGGTTTGCTGATATTGCAAATTTTAAGGCTACTCAACTCATTCCAAAGAGGCTTACTTGGCAGCAAAAGAAGAAATTCTTACATGACAACAAACTCTATGTGTGGGAAGACCCTTATTTGTTCAAGATTATGGTGGATGGCCTACTTAGAAGGTGTATTCCACAAAGTGAGCAAGCTAAGATATTATGGCATTGCCACAATTCAGACTATGGAGGCCACCATGGAAGTTCAAGAACTGCTGCAGAAGTCTTGCAGGTAGGTTTCTTCTGGCCTAGACTCTTCAAGGATGCCAAGAAATATGTTGAAAGCTGTTACAAATGTCAAAGGACAGGCAACATCTCTAGGAAGCATGAGCTGCCATTGACAAACATTCTAGAAGTGGAGTTATTTGATGTATGGGGAATTGACTTCATGGGACCTTTTCCCACATCATTTTCTCATGAATATATCCTAGTGGCAGTTGATTATGTTTCTAAATGGGTGGAAGCCATCCCCAAGAGAACGAATGATGCCAAGGTAGTGATCTCTTTTATAAGAAGGAACATCTTTGCAAGGTTTGGAGTGCCCAGATTTTTAATCAATGATGAGGTGCACATTTTTGCAACAAATACCTTGAGTCTGTACTAATGAAGTATAGTGTGAGGCACAAGGTTACTACTCCATATCATCCATAAACAAGTGGACAAGTTGAAGTATCAAACAAAGAAATCAAGCAGATTTTAGAAAAAGTGGTGAATAGTTCAAGGAAAGATTGGTCAAAGAAGCTAGATGACTCTCTATGGGCATATAGGACTGCCTTTAAGACTCCAATTGGTATGTCACCCTACCAATTAGTCTTTAGAAAGGCATGTCACTTACCTTTGGAGCTGGAACATAAGGCTTATTGGACCACTAAATGGTTGAACTTTGATTTACCAAGTGTTGGGAAGAAAAGAGTTTTACAGCTACATGAAGTGGAAGAGTTCAGACAACAAGCTTATGAAAATGCAAAGATGTATAAAGAAAGAACCAAGAAAATTCATGATAAGTTCATTCTGAAAAGAGAATTTGAACCTGGACAGCAAGTGTTATTGTTTAATTCTAGACTAAAACTATTTCCTGGGAAACTTAGATCAAGGTGGTCTGGACCTTTTCTGATAAAAGAAACATCTCCATTTGGAGCAATTCTAATTGAGGGTCAAAAGACAGGGAGAGAATTCAAGGTTAATGGCCAAAGGTTGAAGGTTTATCATAGAGAGGAATTTGCAAGGAATATCTCATATGTCAAATGGTTTCTCCTAAGTGAGAAACATTTAGCGTCAAGCTAGTGATGTTAAAAGAGCTCTTTGTGAGATGCAACTCACATTTCTGA